ATTTTCCTTTCTGCCCTTAGAACAACTTTGAGTAAGTAAAACTCCGTCTAATCTGAGAGACCTGCGGCAGCCGCCTCTCGCAAAACTCATCCAGCGGTTTTGTGTGCTTAGGAGAACGTGTAAAAAATGCAGACAATCCTCCCAGATTCGCAAAAAAAATCTTGCAATCCTTAATTTTTGATGCTCCCTGAGACATCACAAGATTTAATGTGTGTGCATAACTGCACAAAAAGAGCATGAGGGATGCTCTTCTTTAACACACACCTGTACACCATTAAGTCCCGATGCCATTACAGTGGATTTGTCATAACTTTGTGCCACTAACTTTGTTTTGCAATCATAGCTGTCCAACACTTCAAGTACTGAAGCTGCTAGATCATGAGCTTTTTTTTTTTTTTCTGTGACATCCTCAAACTTTAAAAATCTTTCTTTTACTCTGATGTCAGTAACGTACTGGAGTACAAATGACAGCTGTGCAGTGTTGCTGAAATCAGTGGTCTAGAGTTTTTTGTTTTAGTGTTTGTGCCAAAAATATGTTGTTTGAGCACTGTGCTGATCTGCTGAAGTAAAAATCTTAGAAAAATCAAAGAAAAGTACAGAAATAGGGAGCAAAGCGCAGAGCAGTAAGCAAGAACGTCCGAACGGTAGCGAAGCCGGAAGCGAAAAACATCATCCACCATAACTGTGACAAACTTGGTGTTGTTGATCTCTTTTTTGATGGCATCATTTAGCACCTCAGCAACAGAATTTATGATATAATTTTGAATTTTCCACGATGTTCTTGTAAAAACGGTGGCCGTGGCAAGGTTGTGTCGCAAGTCAGCATCGTATTCTGACAGCAGAGACAGTAACTCCAAGTAATTACCTCGATTCAGGGACTCCTTCCCCTCGTCATGTCCCCTGAAAGACAATTCTTGCTGTCCCAAAAAGACGACACAATCAATGAGGCTCTTCAGTATGTCCTGGTTTTTCTTCACTCTCTCATTGTGCAGGCTTGTCTCTCGTCTCCACTGGTCATCCAGCTGCAAATCCACCCTGGACTCACCAAATGTCTTCAAATGTACCACCACTGTGAGGTGACGCTCGGATGCCTGGTGTTTGATAGCTGCCTTGGTGAAGCTATTAAGGCTGTTAAAACCCGTGCTGTTCCATGTTCCCTCACTGGTATTAAAAAGCAAACACGGCCAGCAAAATAACTTGTTCTGCTTGAGGCTAGGGGTTAGCCAGTCATAGCGGTCGTAGTTACCCTCAGCGAAGTGCTGCACAAAACATTTTCTGACCTTGGTCAGCCCATCCAGCTTAGGTGTAGGTCTCCCTTTTGAAATTATCTCTTTTCTCTCTCCAAACGAGCGCCTTGAAAAAGGCACACAAAGGAGATCAAAAACAGGATCGCAGCGGCCATCCTCATGTGAACGTTGAGACTCTTCTTCATTGTCAAACTCTTCCCACACTGAGTGCAGGTGAAACTTTTCTTGTCTCTTCTTTTTTTCTTAACACAATTTGTGTTACGCCCCGTTCTAATAAGAAAAAGGGCTTGACGTGAGTTTGAAGGTAAACGGGAAAGCAACCCCAGCCGACAGATCACCACAGACATAAAATTAAGATCCACAAATGATTTATTGAAATGGAATAAAAGAATTAAGTAAAAGGAGCCATAGCTTCAGGGTGATCTTCCAAGAGCGCCGCCCTTTTAAGACAGAGCAACCGCAGGTTCAGCCAGTCGCGTTTCTCTGCAGCAACCAATCGCAAGCGATTTATCGTACAGCCCTAAAAAAAAGAATTATTTTGATGGCATTGATGAACCTGTGGTGGTTTCTGCGGTGGGGAAGAAATGTAAGCTATTAATAAGATTAGTATTGACCAAGTTCAGAGGCTGTCATATGTGGATCAACTTACTTTGTTGTGTATTTTCAACAGTTTCAATATGAAAAATAACTTTTATATTTATTCAATTGATTTTTTGCATTTTGGGGAAAAAAATAAGCAGTTTTTATAATAAATCTTTAAAAATTCAAATCCAGATTTTGATTTTAAATGTTATTATAACCTAAAGATGCTATGTGAAAGTTTGAAACAGAAAATAGTGGTTTTTCTTCATATATATATATATATATATATATATATAGGTCCACATATATTTGGACACAGACACTATTTTTATTATTTTAGCTGCTGATCAAAACAAATATTCAAGTTACAGTTATATAATGAATATGAGCTTAAAACCACAATATGTTCCTGTGGCTCAGTGGTAGAGCATTGCGTTAGCAGCACAAAAGGTCATGGGTTCGATTCCCAGGGAACATATATACTGGTAAAAAATGTATAGCCTGAATGCACTGTAAGTTGCTTTGGATAAAAGTGTCTGCTAAATTAATTAAATTATTATAAAATTAATTAATTAATTAAATTACATGATCCCAAATGTTTCGAAGAATGTTTAAATCCAGAGAAATAAGCAATTTTATCTAGTGACACGGAGCGTGCCCATAGTTTCATTGTGTCGCCTGCCAATGACGTCATACATCCTTGATTTTCCCGTTTTATTTTGTAGAAAACATGGAAACCCCAAAGACACTTTAAGATGTTATTCATTTTATTAGACAGGTGACGAACGCACAGAGTAGCATTATAACAGCACTTCAACACACTCAAATGTATCTACTGTAGTATGATAAAACAGCGCTGCTTTTTTCTACATACGCATGACCAGAAGAAGCGGAAGCGGTCGACTGTGGCATAATAAAAGCTCCCCTGCTTTCGAGCCATGTATCGCTCTCGTCCTTCATTAGCAATCGCTCCAGCGTCCTCGTTTCGCTTCCATGACTTTCAGCCACACCCTGCTTCATACTACAGTGACCTTAATAAGTCTTTAATACATTAGCTCATCCATAGACATGATTGCATCGGCTGTGGGGATGAAGACAACAACTCCCATTAATCCACACTCAAACACAGGGTCATAAATCTACACCTTTGTTTCTCTGTTTGGTTTGAATATGCGCCCTCTGTTCTGACCTTGTGAGTCCATTAAATAAAACAGCTTCACAGTTGAAAGGCAACATTGGTATTTTATTAGCGGCTACAATTGTGGCGTGCTGCCACCACGCACAGCAGCTGCGGCGAAAACTTATATATTGTGCCTTTAAAGTGTTTCTAGTCATAAAACCATTGTGATGGCACTGTTATATGTTCTATCACTGTCTTAACCTTAATAGTTACTTTAATTGTTTCAGTCTTTTAAACAAACATGAATATCACAGAATGGTTACACAGCCTTCTAGGCAATTATTTATAATATTTATTTATCATTATTTATCTATATTTATTAATTATCTCAGATCACCAACACTGGTAATAAGCAACACATAAAGCAATGTAGTTGTAATCAAAAATTTTTATAGCTGTGTTCATGAATCATGTCTGCATTGTCGAACATGTACATTTAAAGTCGTATTTCTCCCAAAAAACTGAATTTTTCAAGTCTTAGGATAGAATGTGATAAACATATGATTCTCCTGTGCTAATTAAAAGAGAAAAAATACAATAATGCTCACTTAACAGAAAGTTCCATACGATTTTGCTGATGTGAACCCAAAATCCTCCCCATCAAAATAAAAGAGGAATTAATTGTCATATTAGGAATATACTAAATGTATCAGTCTGCTGATTTTTTCTTGTAGTACATGAGTCCAGCAGCTGCTGTGATGTCCAGCACCAGACCAGAGGCTCCAATAGAGATTTTATTCCCGTCAGACTCCGAGATAGAGGCATCTGTGTAGTGCACACATCATTTTATTACCGTAAAATTTAAAAGTGTGTAATGTCAGTTCAGTTTGCTTGCATATCTTATTGAATTTTACTAATTTTACTTTACTAAGACTGGCAGAAATTATTTAAAAAATTAGACACTTTTACCCCAGTCGATGATCATAGGTTTATTGAAGCTACCATGCTCCACCATACAGGAGATCTTCTCTCCAGATTTGGGTGTATATTCAAGGTGGGAGTGAATCTGGTAGTACCAGTCCCCATTAGCCAGCTCCTCGATGGACGCCACATCAGTGGTCATCTCTTTACCGTCTCTCAGCCAGGAAACTTTGATCTGTTCAGGGTAGAAGTCGTATGCACTGCACACCAATGCAGCAGGAGAGCTGCTGCCATTCTGTTTCACTGGCCTAAGCTTGATCTTGGGTTGCACTGAACAAATAAGAGTAGAAATTCATCTCAGTACTACTGTACATGACAATCTTATAACAGCCATAACATGCATTCTAGAAATAAGTGAGAAAGAAGACGAAGACCTTAAATATAATATTGAAACAGCTAAACCTCTTTAAATTTACAAGCAGTTGCTGTTAAACAGGGAACCTAAGACAAGAGGTTTTTGCCACTTACCCAATTTATTAACAATGGCTGGGTAACCAATTTCTCCATAATGTTTGCATTTGTGTACCATATTGCTTAAATGTGACAAGATTTGTTTATTGTTCGACAAGCGTGCACATTTCATTCCAATCTCAGTAAACCCTACATACTTTCCAAGAGTGCTGTTGAATTGCATTTGTACAGCTTTATTAAAGGAAGTTGAAATAATGAGTTCCACGTCACTAAGATCACGGGAAATATAGGTGCACTGATATAGTATAGAGACGTGAAAAACAACAACACAATATCATCATTATAACTGAACATCTTTCTTACAAAATGTTTTCATAACACACATTTATATACACACACACACACACAAATGCTTTATAAATAATAACAAGAACAGTATTAACAATAATTGAAACTAATCTAAATTAAAATAATACATTTGTTTTTACCTGTCCCTGTGATCAGTATGATGAATGAACCTAGAAGCTTTGCTAAAAACATTTTCCTCAACTCTAAGTATCCACACTGAAGCAGACTGAGGGGAGGTCATTGCCAAATTGTTAACTGTTAAGCAGTTTAAAAAGTTAAAAGTTAACTGGCCAATCAGGCATGGCAGTGTAATGGGGAGGGATCAGCACCTCCTCTCTTTAACTGCTGTTTATGTTTGCTGCTTAAGTAATTGTTCTGTACACCATTAATGAAAATGGAGCTGCATATGTTCTTTCTCGCCATCACTGCAGTTTTATCCACCGAGAGTAAAAGTAAGTTTATTTCAGAGTACAAAACATGCATTAAGAGGGATACTGTGTTTTATAATCCTATTTCAGTTTTGAATTATACAATTCTCTTTATTACGGTCTGTAAATAGCTGAAACATTTTATGTTTTTGTTTATATTGTTCTGTTTTTAGTACACAAGGGTCACCACCTTGTTGGATGCTCTGATACAGAGAGAGAGGATATGTATGGTCTTGATGGAGAGGAAATATACTACTACAACTTCAACAAAAACAAAGCAGTAGTAGCAATTCCAGAGTTTGCAGATTCTGTGTCATTTCGATTTCCAACAGATTTTGAGCCTTGTGTTTATAGTACAAAAATATGCAAAGACTTCCTAGCCTTATTTACTAATAATTACGTACACCAAGCAGAACAAACGGGTAAGGGACACGCATACAACATAACTTAAAGTATTGTGTTTTCGTTTCTTAATTCATAAGGTACGCATTAAGTTAATCTGTGGAAGCTGAAGGCAAATTCAATGTAATATGTAACGGAGAGATTTAAAATGCAAATCAGTGTCAATATATTTCCCTGTGTTCACAGACCCGCCTCAAACTTCCATCTATCCTAGAGATGATGTGGTTGTGAGTGTAGAAAACACCCTCATCTGTCATGTGACTGGATTCTTCCCTCCACCTGTGAGAGTCTCTTGGTCTAAGAACAATGTGAACGTGACAGAGAATATAACTTTGAGCCAGTATCGCCCCAGTAGTGATGGCACCTATAACCTCTTCTCCATGCTGAAGATCATTCCATTGGAAGGAGAAACTTACAGCTGCACTGTGAACCACAAAGCCCTCCAGCAGCCTCAAACCAAAATATGGGGTGAAGTTATTTTCAGATAATTAAGGAAACGTTGACAAAGTAATATAATACCAGCATTTCCCAAATATTGCACTAATAACAGCCATGTCGCTGTGTTTCTGTTGTACAGATGTAGAAGCTGTCCTGCCCGGTATTGGCCCATCAGCGTTCTGTGGAGTGGGTCTGACTCTAGGCCTGTTTGGAGTGGTGACAGGAGCCTACTTCTGCATTAAAGCACACACCAGCAAATCAAATATGGATGCTAATAATCAAATATTAGATACAGTTTAGAGTGAACATGCCTGACAAAAGCTATTAGCTCTCCATCCTACATATTTTTATAGCACATAAAGTATGCACCTACTTTAAAAAATGGGAGTTAAAGCTACTATAGACAGAAGAATGTGTTCATCCTTTTCAGGCTCCATCTTAAGCCGGGCGCACATTGTGCGATTTTTAATAGTCCTTTACGATTGTTGCTTGTCAGACTGTTCTCAGTTGTCATTAATGTCAGACTGTACGACAGTCAAGACGTGTTAACAATGGGTGTCTGAAGTTTTACATTATCAATCCATACACGTTAAGTGACCGCAAGCTGCATTACACGCGGGGCTGAAATGTTGGCTATCATGAAAAGTACATGAATGGCAGCAATAGCGGCGTATTTAAGAAGAATAGTGTAAGCAGCACTACACACCCACACTGGTGCAACCGGTGTTTATTATGCAAAGGCAACATATCGGATGAATTCCGTGAGCGGAAGTTTATGCAGATAGAAGAAATCTCTAGCATTAATTCTGACTTGCATGAATTATGGCTTGTCTTGAAAAATGAAGACAGATTGACGTTCGTCGTAGGAGACGTCATATTGCAGGTCTGTGCACCAAATCTTCTGACACTGCCAGAATTTCGTCAGAGATAAAATTGAATCGCAACGGTCATTTATCGGCTGTCGGTGAACAGATTTTTTGAACAAAGATTAAAGATTTTAGCCTAGGATTATAGGAATCTTTTAAGATTTTCAAAATTTGTCTCAGACGTCCAAATCATGGCCAGAATCGCACAGTGTGAGCCCAGCTTTAACTCTATAATGTATGTTTGACGGTTTTAATGACTGTAGGGTTACTTGATTGGTTACCTTGACTGGAAACTTGATCTCCAGTGTTGCAATGTATTATGTAAATGTAATTAGTTACTTTATGTAAGTATCTTTTTGGCTACTTTGCAGAGTATCAAAGAATATCAGAGTATCAACCTTTACTCACTACTTGACTACATTTTTGAATAAGTATATGTACTCTTCACTCAAATACATTCATAATAAGCAATGCAATAACTTTTTTTCAATAACACTCTGCATGGCACCTAACTTTTTCTGCAGCAGTTTATTTCTGCTACAAAATAAGCAATATTTTGTGCATTTTCTCCTTGCTCACCCAAACTTGTCAACAAGGCTACTTTATGTGAACGTATCAGGCTTTAACTATTTAATTTTACTTAGCATCATTTTATTTATTTGTTTGTAAGAGACCTTTTTAAACGATATTGCTTTACTTATGCCCTTTTAAGATGCCGTGTAATTGGCTGTTGTGTCAAACTTAACTTATTGTGTTCAGTTATATTTTGATTTTATAAAATAAACGTGATTGCTTTCCTCGCAAATCAACTGTTTCTTGTTTTTCACTGGTATGTGTCAGGTACTCTTAAGACTTTTACTCAAGTCGTATTGGAATTGGTGACTTGTAACTTGTAATGGAGTCATTTTTGCTGTAAGGTAGCTGTACTTTTACTCAAGTTTTCAGCTACTCTTTACTTCTCTGTTGACCTCAATGTTGGCTTTATTAATATTTGGAGGTTCACATTTGTGCCTGATTGTGCCAAAGGAAAATCAATTAAACTTTTTAAAGTTATTTATTTATTTAGTTCAACATCATATTTTCATCTTTTGTCCATAAAGATCATTTAAACAAAGCTCATAATTAACTTATTTAGTAAGAACATAAGTCAGCCAGTAAAAAGGCTGATTTATTGTATGTTATTTACAAAAAAATACTGTATAATAAATAAACCTGGCAGAGCAGCCATATCACCCTGTAGCCCAAGACTGGTTGCCCACTGAAGCTAAGCAGGGTTGAGCCTGGTCAGTACCTGGAGGGGAGACCTCCTGGGAAAACGTCTCCGGTTACGTATGTAACCATGGTTCCATGAGAAGGGAACGAGACACTGCGTCCTCTAGGGGTCGCTATGGGGAACGCCTCGGCGTGAGCCGTGTCTGAAGCATACATTCAAAACTCCAACACGTTGGCCTGCGACAGCCTATGTTGTCACTACCGGTGTGACCACAGTATACAGAGGCGCCGGGAGAACACGTCATCCGCTTCGTCATCTGAAGCTTGCGTCCGAAGCATGGCAAGGAAACTAGAGGACGCAGTGTCTTGTTCCCTTCTCAGGGAACCATTGTTACATACGCAGCAGACGGCTGCTGCTCCTTCCTCGAAAAGATAGACAGACGAGAGCGGAGCTTTCTCATAGAAAAACGCTTGCAGTGGACACAGATTGCCCTCTCGAGGACATCGCGTGCGTGCTCTTCGCCCAAACAAACAACGCAAAGATTGTGTGTGTCATCAGGTGTCAAATAGCGAGGACACGAATCCACACACCTCTTAAACGTCTTACTACTGCTCGCCATGACAAGGGAAGAAAGATCGTTCTTACCACCAGAATGCACGCTTCAAACAAAACAGTCACTTGAAGACGAAGAAGAGGATGACGTGTTCTCCCGGCGCCTCTGTATACTGTGGTCGCACCGGTAGTGACGTCATAGGCTGTCGCCGGCCAACGTGTTGGAGTTTTGAATGTATGGTTCAGCCATGGGTCACACCGAGGCATTCCCCATAGCGACCCCTAGAGGACGCAGTTCGAAGTTCCCTCGAAAGGGAACTAGGTTGCTGCTGGAAGAGGTGTTAGTGAGGCCAGCAGGGGGTGCTCACCCTGCAGTCTGTGAGGATCCTAACGCCCCAGTGTAGTGACGGGGACACTATACTGACAAAAAGAAAGCACCGTCTTTCGGATGAGACGATAAACCGAGGTCCTGACTCTCTGTGGTCATTAAAAAGAGTAGGGATGTAACCCAATCCTTGCAATATGGCTGCCGTCGCATCATCCAGGTGGATTCTGCACACTGGTGGTGGTTGAGGAGATTCCCCCTTTCTATGTAAAGCGATTTGAGTGCCCAGAAAAGCGCTATATAAATGTAAGGAATTATTCATTATTATTTGTAATTTATTAATAATATATCACCTTGCATTTGGGAGGGAAAAAAGTCAGAACTGTGAGATAAAAATTTGCATTTACCTTTTTTACTTTTTATTCCATGGCAAAAACACATAACAGACTCAGTACTAGCCATTCTTTCCATTGAGAATATACAAAGCTGTAAATGAAACACCAAGGACATTGTGTGAATTAGCCGAAAGGAAGGCCCAGAGAGGGCACCTAAAATGAGCAAGTAGTGTAACAATGTCTGTTATGTGTATATTTCATTGGGCTGCCATGCCAAGATTTTTTTGTGTTTGCGTGCAGTAGTTCATATTGCAAAGTGTGGCTAAGCCTTAAATATTTTAATTTAAGCTAGTTCAGTTCTGTTTTTTTTTTAAATTTTTGGGTAGAGGCAGGCCACTCAAGGCTGAGTTTTGGTTTATTAAATATATTTATTTATTTATTTGTCTATGCTCAAAAGTAGATTTTTGACTATTACTAATACTACTCTTATGGTAGATGGCATGTTACTATGTAGCCTATTAATCGAATGAATATAATGAGTTATAAATTCCCTTTGCAAAGTAAAGTGTTTTGGTACTTTACTGATAAGCTACAGTGAACGTCTGTGAACAGATCTTCTCTGTACTTGTTGTTTGGAGCCCATAAAAAAAAAAAAAAAGTATGTGGGCCTAGGGTTGACTTGCTACAGGTATTTAAGTCTGTGATACTTCCTCATACAAAAGTCCATAGGGTGAAAGGAAGGTCCTTTATCATGTGAAAGTTACTGATATGTATTCAAACTATTCATCACAGCCAGCATTTTAACGTTTAACATTAATAATTAACAAATGCAACACCTCCATTTTGCAATGTTTGATGGTCTTCATACATTTTACTTTTAAAAAATCTAATAATATAATAATATATAATAACTGTAGAAATGTTTTGAAACGTGCAGCGCTCATATTTATTCAATGACATCATTGCCTTTTGAAGTTTAACCCAGCCATATCGCGACTCTTGTCTTTCCGTCCCCAACTGTAAGACCTCTTGAAATTATAATTAAGACAGTTCTTATACCATTTAACGTATTTAAACCGTTTTATGGCCTTAAGTTTGATACAACTCAAACTTGAGTTTTTAAGGGAGATCTGTATTTAAGGTAGCCCATCAGGCAGAGTGGTGATACATTTTGGTAGCCCAACTGGAAAACACAATGGGCCTCATTTACGAAACGAACGTACGACAGAAAATTGGGCGTACGGTCGTTTCAACGCAAAACTTGGAATTTATCAATATGGACGTGAGCGGTGGCTATGATCAAATCTCACGTCTGGTCTCAGCTCGTGTAGGCTACGCAAGTTTTTGAGTTACCTGAACTTGCGCGCAGCATAGTAAATATGGTGGAGAATTTTATAAAAGGAATAAAATAAATAGGATCACACAAAATATATAATAGGCTATAATATAATTAACAGATTAACACAAGGGGGGAAAAAACACTGTGCAACAAGTAGGCTATGGGCTACGCTCGTTTTTGTGACACTCTTAATGCATTTTATTTCTTTTCTTTATGTCTTTTCATCGTCTGTTTGATTACGTCTTTAATTGATTTTTCCGTACATTTCTGCCATATGTAGGCTACATTAACTGACAGTCACCACTGATAAGCTACTAAATATTGTAGAAACGTAATTTTCTGTAAAGTTGCTTTGCAAAGATTTGTATCGTGAAAAGCACTATACAAATAAACTT